TGACCGACAGACGAGCGCGCGGACTGACCCGGTTTAGGGGCGAGGCGTGAATACAATGCTGGGACCCCCACCCCTGGCCCGTCCAGCCCCCCCCCCGACTCAGTCATACTTTGAAAGCCCTACGCCAGGTGAGGTTCCAGCCCTCAATCTTCACGAAGGAAAACGATCCAGCCGCCAAAGTCGACAAGAAGGGGTGGTGCCAGCCCTCTGTTTTTACGAATGAGTGTGTTCCAGCCACCCACGGTGTCGGTTCAAGCCCTCAATTTCTATCAAGGAAAATGTTCCAGACGCCAAAGCCGACAAGAAGGGGTGGTTCCAAATGTTCCCGCCGCCCACGGTGTTGGTTCCAGCCATTATTTATCATCCAGCGCGAGTGTTCCAGCCGCGCACGGCGTGGGTTCCAGCCATGCACTTCTACCGACCCGGAGCGCTCCAGCCGCCCACGCCTTGGGCTCCAGCCATACATTTTTACCGAGCGCGAGCGTTCCAGCCGCGCACGGCGTGGGTTCCAGCAATGCATGTTTACCCAGCGCGAGCGTGTCCAGCCGCACACGGCGTGGCTTGCAGCCATGCATTTTTACCGAGCGCAAGCTTTCCAGCCGCCCACGGCAAATTCTCACTAGCAAATTAGTCCACTGCCTGTACCTCCTTCCCTCCTTCCCTCCCTCCCCCATTCTGCATCACGCGTCATCTACCAAGGGAGCACTATCCACTGCCTCCAAAGTGGTCCCGAGAGCGCCCGACAGACTCCCAAAGGGTTTCACGAAAGCACCAAGAGGGGCCACAAGGCTTCGAAAAGAGCGAAAGCGAGCCGCAACGTGGCTCCACGAGGCTCCTGGAGATCCCCAAGCTGGCTGCTGTGGAGGCTGCTCGGCCTGACCCCAGCTTCTGATGCCCCCTCTCTGTACTACTGGTGGTTCCCTAGACATGTCGCCGCGCCATTTGTCTTCGACGCGCCCAACGGCTTCGTCTACTTGGGCGCGGGACGCAAGGTTTGCCGTGGGTTCGCACGGCAAACCCATGGCAAACCCTGCGTCCCGCGCCCAAGGGGACGAAGCCGGCACCGCGGCAAACCAACGGCAAGCCCACCGCGTCACAGGCGGCGTTTGCCCTGGTGCCCGAGGCGCCCTCCTCAAGACGGAAGGCCGCGCGTCGGAACACATGGCGCGGCGACAAATTCATGGACGTGCAGAAAAGATGGCATCTACGTAACATTTCGGAGCCCAGCGCGAATCTCAGGAAATCAATGTTTACGCAGCTTTTCTTTTTCGGGATACGCTGGGGTACCAGCCGACCCACGAGTACAGAGTGCGACGCCAGCGCGAACGACCTGCTGCACGACCAGCTGGCGCTGCGGGCAACAGGCACGCCCGCGCGCACGGCGAGTCGAGGGCCTCGACAGACGCCTCGGAGCATGGCGCGTGCGATGACACGGCCATCTGTGAGCCGAGCCGCGCGGGCTCGGACGCAGAGCTCGCCACGAGCACCAGCTCGGCACCGAGAGCTCGGCCGGCCGGCCCAGAAGAGCTCGGAGCACCAGAGCACCACCGGTCGCAGGTCGCGCACGACGGCCAGGCGCGGAGGAAGGATGTCCGGCCACCGCGTGCCCGTAGTGGCAGCGCTTGTCTCTGGTCAGCGTGTGGAGGGAGGGGGGGACTTGAAGGGGGACGCGGACTGGGCCATGAGTCATCAGTCTGCTCTGGGTGCAGCGCCAGGGCTTCAGCCTAGGCACAGCATGAAGAGGCGCATGCTGGCACGCACTTGTGCTCCCTGGCTGTCGCAGACGCCCAGCTCGGCACGGACTTCTGTGCAGAGAGGCGTCGTTCCTGTTCTGGCCGCAACTGGTCCAAGCGCGAGCTCGGTAAGATGGACTCCTCCCTGCGGTGTCGCCGCAAAGAGTGCTAGCTTGGACTAGTTCTGAGGGGCATAGGGGGGAAACATCGACCTGGAATCGGCGATTCATCGCCGATAGATCGGCGATAGGCCCCCGACAGGGAATCCGCACGTTCCTGGGCGGGGTAGGGCTATCAAAGCCCTCTCGAAGATCAATGGGCGATTGGGGGTCGATGCATCCTCCCTTATGCCTATCCACCCCATAGCGTTGCCCCTGAAGTTCTTTCTCCTGACTCGCCTGTCTTCTCGATTGCACCCGGGCCTGGGGAGGGACCCGAGAGCCTGCAAACGGCGAAAAGCCTCAAGACCTGGCTGCTGCATGGCGACTGGTGGTGGGGGCTCGTGCATCAGGGTGGGCGACAACGGAACGCTCGCATCCCAATGCCGGCGTGAGACGCCGCAGGCAGCAGGGCGCCACGGGCGGCGGGATCGCGCGTGCTGGCTGGTGCTACGAGCCGCCCGGGCGCCGTCTGGGGAGATGTCCTTCTCGCACTCCACCCGAGTCCGTGTGCTACGCCTGCTCGTGGCCAGTGCAAATCGAATCCAATATCATTGCTTTCTGTTGTGCATAACTCGTCTCCGTCGGGCCACAAGACGTGTCCGTAGGCTGGGCAGGGCGAATCGCTTGAGACTTCTTTACAGCTAACGACCCTGAAACCAAAAGATGCTGCACTTCCAAAGGCTGAGGGGCGACGGTTTTATGTCTGGCTCTCGTATTAGCGCCGCTCACACTCGTTAAGCAAACAAAACAGCCACAATGATGGAGGGCCAGCGGTTTTCATCGAACTTTGGCTCTCGCCTGAGCGCCGCGCCCATTCGTCTTCAATACATCCAACAGCTACAAGGATGAAGAGCAAGTGGTTTTCAAAATGCTACTCTCGCCTTAGCGTCGCGCGCATGTGTTCAAACTAAAGCCATCAGTTACAAGGATGGAGCGCTGGTGGCTTTCAAGATTCGGCTCTCGCCTTAGCGCCGCGCACACTCATGTACAGAACAAGCAAACGCAAGGATGGTTGCTAGCTCGTTTTCAATATGCGGCTCTCGCCTTTGCGTCGCGCGCACATGCCTTAAACCGACCCAGCAGCTCAACGGACGGAAGGGGTAGTTTTCAAGATGTGGCTGTCTCCCCAGCGCCACTCGCATTCCCTTTCAGATAATCCAACAATTGCAAGGATGGAGGGCCAGACGTTTTCAAAATGCGACTCTCGCTCAAGACTTCCTCAAATCACACGACCCGAAATTCCAACGTGCGAAACAATTACACGGATGGATGGCGGCTCCTATTCAAAATGGGGCACTCGCATCAGACTTCCGTAAAATTGATGGCCCGTTGTTTGAAGCTGTAACTCTTACACGGATGCACGCCAACATCCTTTTCAAAACTGGGCTATCGCTGGACACCTCCTTGAACTGTATACAGTGTGGGCGCGGCCGCATGAAACTACCGCAAGCAACCCAACCCTGAAAACCCGCGCGCGAGGTACACCTGAGGGAAAGCCCGGAGCACCCTGCACGCAGCAGCTTCTTCACGGCCGCGGGAAGTCGCCGCGGAGCGCGCGGAGCCAAGAGACCCAGGGGACCCTGGCGAAAAGCATTTGGCTTCTGGATGCGCGCCCCCACTGTAATCATACCTCTCAGCGAGCCGTTTCAATTTTTTTCCAGCGCTATTTTGGAGAGGAGGGAGGAAGAGACGAAAGGGAGACAACGCACACACCTGATCATTGTCCGACTCGTGCCGGGGAGTCGGCAGGCAACCCTGCCGCAGGACCGTCATCGCCCTTTTCTCCCGAGTGAGACAGCGAGCCGTTTCAAAATGAAGGGACGCGGGTGGATCCTGTACAGCATGGGCCCTCGCCTGCGTGGCAGATCCACCGGGCTGGGCGCTCGCCGTTCCAGGGGCGCGCCTCACAGCGGAACCAAAACCACTGTAGGGACCTATGCAGAGGGGACTTGAGAGGGGAGCGTGTGTTCCAGCATCGCAGATGCATCTTGGGTCTACTCTGGTCCTCCTCCTCCTCCTCCTCCTCCTCCTCCTCCTCCTCCTCGCGCCGCCCTCCTCCGCCTCCGCCTCCGTCGCCGACGCTAATGCCGACACCCCGCGACGCCGACGTCGACGCTGCCGACCTCACGCCGGCGCCGACCACGGCGACACCGACGACGACGCTGGCGACGCCGACGCCGACGACGACGTCGGCGTCCGCGTCGTCCGGCCTCCAGCGTCGCTGGTGCCGTCGGCTGCCTCGGCAGGCCGCCGAAGCCCCGACGCCGCCGTCCGCGCCGAGCCGCGGGGTCGCCGAGGCGCGCCCGCGGGAGGGCGCCCGCCGAGGGGATCGTCGCGGGCCGCGCCGGCCGGGCTTCGGCGGGCCGCGCGAGCCGAGGCGGCGGCGCCGACGGACGGCGACCGGCGGCGGACGCACGCGACCGCGGCAGCGACGGACGGCCGACGGCGGCGGCGGCGGCGTCGCCAGCGACGTCGTCGGTGTCGCCGTGGTCGTCGTCGTCGGCGTGAAGTCGGCAGCGTGGGCGGCGGCCCGCGGCGGCGGCGGAGGGCGGACGGTGGGCGGGGGTGCGGCGGACAGCGGGCGGCGACGGCAGCGGCGAGGAAGGCGACGACGGAGAAGACGGTAAAGATCAGAGAGGGGAGGGGGAAGTGAGAGGGGAGGGGGTGGGAGGGGAGATCGTAGTGAAGGGAGTGGGCGGGGAGGGCGGCTGGGGAGGAGAGGAAGAGAGCGAGAGTGAGGAAGGGGAAAAGATGCAGAGTTGGAAGGGGAACAAAGGAGGGAGAGAAGGAGCGATGGAGAAGCAGAAGGAAGGGAGAAGGGAACGAGAGAGAGAGAGAGAGAGAACAAACAAGTAAACAAAAAAACAAACAAACAAACAAACAAACAAGGGCCAGGGCGGGGCGAGTCGCCGATGTGTCAGGAACGACGGGCCAGGGGCAAGCAGACGTGCTCCGCTTCGGAGGGCCTGGATTGCCCCGACGTCGTCCTGGCTGGCCTTGCTTGCAACCCACAGGCACAGTGGGCCGCTGACTGCCGTCGACACGCGGGCGACTTGCGACGGAGCCGAGGCGGCGACGAATCCAGACATCCTACGTCTTGAGTTGTTCACGCGGTCAAGCTCGGTCCCTTCTCCGTCTCACGGGACCGTACTCGCCTCTGTGCGAATGCGGCATGCGATGGGCACTGGCTCATCACCGGCCGCCTGAGTTGAGCGCTTGGTGGACAGCGAACGCGCAAGGGAGTTGACAGGAGCGTGCCCCCCAGACATCCGATGTCTCCAGTTGTTCGGCAAAGGGTCCCTCGAACTCGCGACCAGCTCCCCCAGTCGGCCTTTCATCCCGAGTCGTTCTCTGACGGCCCCAGGGGCCCAGCGAGGGCCCCCAGAAGCCGAGACCGGCCAATGACGCCCGTGCCGAGCTTTTCAGTGCACGCCGGAGGTCTGGGAAGCGAGTGATCTTCGGGCCACATCTCGAGCCTCCGGCGGACGTTCTGGACGATGCGGGCACCCCCACGATACGAGCACCCGCGGAACGCCCTCGGCGAGGCGCAGCACCCCAAGGCGAGAAACACTCCAAGAACCAACGAAACCTAAATCAGATCATCCTAAAATCCTGGGGCCGTCGCGGGGAGACGCCCGCGGACCCCGGCGGCCGCCAGTGCCCGGACGCCTCGGTCTCTCGACCCCCCGACCCCTCCATCCCTGGACCCCCCGATCCCTGGACCCCTCTCGACCCCTGGGACCCCTCTCGACCCCTGGGACGCCTCTCGACCCCTGGACGCCTCTCGGCCCCTCGACGCCTCTCGGCCCCTCGACGCCTCGACGCCTGCCGCCGGAAGGCCGCGCCGCGCGGCGGGCGCCAGGCTGAGGCCGCGGCGGCGCCCTGGCCGGGGCGAGCGCCCGGCGCCGCCCGCGCACGGGCGTGGGCACGCCTGGAGGAGCAGCAGACACTCGAGCAGGGGAGCGAGTAAAACATGGACATGACCCCAGGATTCATCTTCCCGCAGGGTCGAGAAAACAGATACGTATGATGTTCGCGGGCCTACGAACATGGCACGCATGTCTCGTAGATTCGACGAGGACAGCAACTTGGGGTGAGTCAATTCTGTAGTCGATCCCCTGCTCGAAAAATGGCATGGTCAGAATGTCTCAGAGCTCCCCGCGGACTTCTTGCGTCGCCCCTGGGCGCCCCTCCCTCGCTGGGAAGGTTAGGTTGCCCATCCTTACTCTGCGGGTTGACTGTACGCTGGGACACCGAGAGTCTGCAGTTCAGCAGGCCTCGCCTCCCACGTCGCCATGGAAAGGCTCGGGGGCCAGATCGCTGAACTGAAGGTTCTCAGGGGGCGTAGTTTACGGTCGAGAACCCTTGCTTGGCGTGTCGCTGCGGCGGCCCCGGGGACACGCTATCCCTCGCAAGCAGGTAGCGCCGGGGCGGGGAGGTCGGGGCACGCTCGTGAGGCTTTCGCCTGGGGGGGCGGGAAGTGGACAGCGTGCCGTGCCGGAGAGTGGTGGACCAGAGCCGGCCGAGCGGCACGCCATCCAAAGGTTCCCGACCACGCAGCCGTCGCCCTACCAGAAGGAGCGCCGAACAAGGAACGGAGGGGCTTTCCCTGGCCACATCGAGCCTCGGCTTCGAAGAGGCCCTTTTCGACCTAGATCTAGGGAGCGGCCCGAAAAGCGCAGCCCCTCCTTAGGGGAACCAAAGGGTACCGACACCCCCACTCCGCGGACCTCTCCCAGGGTGCGTTCTGACCAGGATTTCGAGGCGAATCCAGCGGTGGCGACGAAGGCCTCCTAAGAGGCCCAGAAATTAAAAAAGGGGGGGAAGGGTAGCCGTACAGGGTACCTTTTCCTGCTCGGAGTCCTGAGCTCAAAGCGGTCCTCATGTCAGCGTCTTGACTAATGAGAGGCCTCCTAGATGGGGTCCGAGTAGATGGTGGGGTCAAGAATCGCGCCGCATCGTCAAGGCGTCGCCGATGCATCGCCGACGTCGGCGATGCATCGGCGACGTCGGCGTGGATAGAATCGGGCTCCGCATCGAGCCGCATCGCCCATGCATCGGCGATGCGGCGCGACCCTCCGACCCCGTCTACTCCGACCCCAGCTGGGAGGCCTGGAATGTCGGCGTCTCGACTGTGTGCCGTTTCTTGCTGCTCTCCGAGCGCCCCGCGCGGGCTCCGCCGCGCGAGCGCCGCTGCGCCGCGCGCCGCGCCGCGGCCGCGAGGGCGCCGCGGCCTGCGCGGGGCCGTCGGAGCTCCGGGGGGCGCGGAAAGGGTCGCTGCCGAGGGCCTCCCGGGCAGAAGGCCGGAGCAAAGGGGAAGCTTGCCAGGCGCTTCGCCGTCACGTCCTCCTCGCTCCTCCTCGTCCTCCTCCTCCTCCTCCTCCTCCTCCTCCTCCTCCTCCTCCTCGCCCGTCTTCGCGCTCTTCCTCATTGTCCTCCTCCTCCTCCTCGTCCTCTTTCTCCTCGTCCCCCTCCTCTGCCTCGCCCCTCCTCGTCCTCCTCGCCCTCCTCGTCCACTTCCTCCTCGTCCTCACCCTCCTCGTCCTCTGGGTCCTCTTCCTCCTCGCCCCTCCTCGCCCTCCTCGGCACGGCCACCCCCGAGCGTCGGGGCGGCGCCTCCAGGGCGGCGCCGCCCGCGGCCGGGTGCCCCACGGCAGCGTCCGCCAGGCGGTCCTGCGGCGACCGGCGGCGAGGGCTTCAGCACCCAGGAGGGGAGAGCGAGGATCGGGTACGATCGAGGAGGATCGATGATCGATAATGAACGATCGACGATGGTGGAGGGCGAGGAGGAGAAAGAGGAGGAGGAGGAGGAGGAGGAGGAGGAGGAGGAGGAGGAGGAGGAGGAGGGAGGAGGAGAGGAGGAGGAGGAGGAGGAGGAGGAGGAGGGAGGAGGAGGAGGAGGAGGAGGAGGAGGACTAGGAGGAGGAGGAGGAGGAGGAGGAGGAGGAGGACCGAGGAAAAGGAGGAGGAGGAGGAGGTCATCCCTCCTCCTCCAGCTCATCCATCCTCCTCCCTCCCCATCGTCGTCCCATGTTCTCCCCTCCCTCATCCCTCGTCCTCCTCCTCCTCCTCTTCCTTGTGGGGCCGATCGGTGGGAGGAGTGAAGATCGATGGAGGCGTGTGGGGCATAGATGGATCTGGGGGGAAGTACACTAAGGACTGGCGGCTCCGCCGCTGCGGTTGGGCGTGTGTCCACATAGGTTCATCTAGCCTTTTCGACACCATCATCATGGGCACGTTGCCCAGCGAGAAGCAGTCCTCCCCGAGGACGGAGCTTTATGCTTTGATTATGTTGGCCAGCTGTACGACTGGCCATTGCAGAGTGTACTCTGATTCCTTGAGAGTTGTCAAAGGAGTTCGTCAACCGATGCAGGCGAAGTATCGTTCTTCGATGTTGGACTTGTGGGCCAAGTATCATGACTATGTTGTCTCGTGGGGGGTATATCCAAGCGCTTTGGACTAAGTCACATCCCACCCAGGCCCAACGCCAAAGCATGATTTTTTATATATAATTACGTGGAAGTTTATTTGAACCAAGCTGCAGATGTTTTCGCTGATGCCGCAGCTGACCGTGCCCAAGTTCACGAGGAGTTGGTGGATCAGACCCGTATGCCCCATAAACGTGCGTCGGATGTTTTATCGCGTTTGTTGGCTGTCCAGCGGGAGATCCTCTTCACTGGGGAGAGGGACCGTGCTGAGCGCGTCCCTAGGAGATGTCGAGGCCAACAAACTAATGTTGTAGAGCGTGTCTGCAGGTTGCGAACTTGCGGGTACGAGTTGCGGAATGCTAGCATGAAGTGTCTGAAGTGCTTCAGAGGTTTCCCATTGAGAGGGAAGCTGGCGGATGTTTGGCCTGACCCTTGCAAGCCACGCTGTTCAATACAGCAGAAGATCCAGAGCCTGCCCTCGAAGGCAGTTGCCGTTGCGAGTGGAATGGAAGACCCTGTCCCTGATAACCTCGCGGTCGTGCCTGTCGGGGGGGCGGCTCTGGATCACCATATGGCCGAGTTTTGTGACCCATCCCATCAGCTTGCAGTGCCGAGAGGAGGTCTTTTCTGTGAGGTGTGTATGTGGGGGATTATGCAGTTAATGCCCTTGGTCCCTCTCCAGGCTCTGTGGCAAGCCTACGTCGTCGGGCCGCGAGGTGTTGTCGCGGCTCTCCAGAGGGCTGCCCCCGAAATCGGGCACCTTTTTCCCTGATGTGTGATTTGTTTCTTGAACGACCTCCCCAAAGGAGGATGACGCTTTAGACGGAATTAGCATTAGAATTATTGTTCCTCCTCCTTCTCCTCCGTTTCTCCTCCTCCTCACCTTCCTCCTCCATACATTAATATATCAGAGCATCCATCTGCCCGTCCATCCGTACATCCAGCCTCCTCCACCTCCCACTAAGGCGAGGGGGGGGGGGGCGCCAGGCTCGCCCCCGCACACCCAAAGAGTCGTTCATGATTCCCCTTCTATTCCTGAGCCTCCTCCCTCCTCTTCCTCCTCTTCCTCCTCCTCCTCCTCGATCATCCCCCCTCCCTGTCCTCCACAGCCCCACTCCTCCCTCCTCAGTCGACCCCTCTTCCCCTTCGCTACAATGTGATCAACATATACCCTACCCCTCTTGGATCCTACAAACAAGGGTTGTCCTCAATTGCGGAGTTTTGTGAGTTCGGGCATAAGCATCCGCTGGCTTGTAGCTGCTAGGCTCCAGCCGACCTTTGGACCTGGACGACCACTGACATGGATATAGACTGTAAGCGCCCGGAGAACTTGGCATTCCAGACTTTCGCGCAAAAAGAGCGTCACTGGCATCATCGCAAGCATGAGCATCACTATCACCATAGCCAACACCACCACCGTCACCACCACTGCCACCACCATGATCACCATCGCCGTCAACATGAACACCACGACCATCATCACAATCATGACGGGTATCGTCGCCATCACCATCATCGGAATCATCATCACCACCACCGTCATGGGCATCATCAACAGCACCGTCATCGTCAGAATGTTGCTCCGCTGTCCCATCGTTCTCCTCCTACCCGTGGGACTCGCTCGGACCAGGATCCCGAATCCGGTGACCCCGTGTGCGGACGGCCGTGCCCTCGCCCCAACCACCCTCAAGAACATCGGCGCTGTCGCCGACGGTCGACTGTCCTCTTCCTCCTGATCTTGCTCCATGTCCTTCCATAATTCCCCACATCCTGAATGGGGTTCTTGTTTTCTCTGGACACCCCGCGCAGTCCCCCCCCACACACTTTCTGCGTCGGCGGCTGGGCAGAGGTCGACTGCTTTTGGCTGAATGGCAACAGGGGACACGCTGTATGCAAATGAAGGCCGCAATGCACGGGAGGAGGAGGAGCCCCCGCGCGACGGGGGGGAGAGGAAGCCAGGCCACCCAGAACTGCCGGCAGCGGCAGGAAGACTTCCTCCATCATCATCACACACATTTCATCATCACATATCACACTCATCACGATTACCATCACCATCAGCATCACCATCACGATCACACCACCATCGTCATCGTCACCGCTGTCACCATCCGATCACGATCGTGATAATCACCCGCATCAGCATCAACATCAACATCATCGTCATTTTCACCATCAGCAGCATCATCATCAACTTCACCACCATCATCATCATCGTCATCATTATCACCATCATCATCCGCATCAGCATGAACTCTAGCAGCTGCACCCATTCGTTCACTTCACTAATTAGTCACTGGCTCGGCCACTCATTACTATCACTCATCATCCATCCTCATCGTCATCATGATCATCATCGCCAACACCATTGTCATCACGTCACCCACACCACCATCGTCATCATCATCATTCAGTTTCCCATCACGATCAACTACCATCGTTCGTCATCATCACCACCACAATCATCAGCACCATCATCATCACCAGCATCATCATAAGTGCACACATTCCGCCACTCACTCTCTCTCTCTCTCACGCACCCACACACTCATTTTGAGGCCTCGAGCGGGAACCTCGTCTGTGAGCAAACTCCAAGAAATTATCCGGCTGGAACGCTCTCTATGGGGCTCGTAATTCAAGTTGATAGCATTAACGGGCCATCCAAAATGGGTAAGTGTCATCGCAAGTGGCATCGCAATTGGGTTCTTGAGGGCTGACAATATGGGATGCATCAGGCCGGAACCTCGTCTGTGAGTGAGTTGCGGGGAAGTTCCAGACGGGACCCCCCCCCATGGTGCCACAACTCACATTAATAACCCGAGCGGGTCATTTCAAAACCCGTAGCTGTCGTCGCTGTTGGGCTCCTCAGGCTTGACTCTGGAAGGAGTCGATGGCGGGAACATCGTTTGTGAGTGGTTTGCCAAAAAATCTCAAGCGGGAACCACCTCCCTATGGGGCCCGCAGGTCAAGGTGGTAATTCGAACGGGTCATCAAAAACTTCGTAACAGTCAATACCTTTAGGTTCTTCAGCCCTGAATATTATTGGAGGTCTCGGACGGGAATCTCGTTTGCGAGTGAAATGCGAAGAAGGTGTAGACGGAAGCCCCATCCCTATGGGGCCCGCAGCTCATGTTAATAATCCGAGCAGGTCATCCCCAAACGTGGTAACTGTCGTCACTTTTGAGCTCCGCAAGCCTGCATATGGAAGCAGTCTCGAGCGGGAGCCTCGTACGCGAATGGGTTGCGAGGAAGTCTCAAGCGGGAGCTCCATCCCAATGGGGCCCGCAGCTCATATTAGCAATCCGAGCGGGTCATTCTTCATCCAAAACCTTGTACGTGTCATCGCGCTATCAAGCAGGGGCCTCGTCTGTGAGTGAAGAATCTGAAGCGGGAGCGCCTCCCTATGAGGCCCGCAACTCATGCTAATAATCCGGGTGTGCCATCAAATTCCTGTAACTGTCGTCGCCGTGATGCATGAATCTGGAGTGAATCGCGGGAGCCTCGTCCGGGAGTGGATCGCGGCGGCGTCTCCAGCCCCGGAAACGGTCGTCCATTTATTGTGAGCTCGGCTCCCAGCTTGCCTGCCGCTAGCTCTTACGGGCCTCCCCTCCCTATGGGGCTCGCACCCCACGTTGGCAATCTGAACGTTGTGTGCCGAGCTGGTCGTCGGCAAACTTGTTACTGCCGAGACTGTCTGGAGCGCGGGCCGACGGCGCCCCTGCGGAATGCGCTCGAGGAGTTCGACAAGAATTCGGTGAACTCCAAGGATGCGACGGAGCAGTGCGTGGCAACGCTGGACTTCAAGCTGCCTCTCGCCTGAGCGTGGCCGCGATTAGCTCGAGACCTGCGGGGTTGTCCCAACGGCTGGTTCCCGCGCCCCAGCGGCTCTCGGGGTTGTCCCAACGGCCGCGCCCGCTGGGCTGCCCCAACAGCTTCGCGATCCAACCATCGGAAAACGCGCCCATGCCGCCCGTGGCCGCATCGGCGTCGAGGAAAATCGACTTGTTCTGGCCAGGACCCAGAGGAGGTGCATGTGGAGAACAAGCAGGAGGAGGATAAGAGAGGGAGCATGAATATGATGGCGAGGGGAAGGAAAAATGAATGAATGAATGAATGAATGAATGAATGAATGGATGAATGAATGAATGAATGAATGAATGAATGAAGGAATGAATGAATGAATGAATCAATGAGTGAGTGAATGAGTGAGTGAATGAATGAATGAGTGAATAATAATTCGTGGAGTCCTGCCACCACCTTTGTCATACTGCCACAGCTCGTTGTAACACGCTTACTTTCAGAGGTAGGACTCTGAGTCGGGTTAATTCTGCACCCACCCAGACATCGCGACACAGCCAGGGCACTCCGCTGAGACCGGCACTGGCCATAGTCCTGCAACCCCATTCTTGGGCACGCAACCCGTGGGGTGCCGGCTCCAAAGGCACGAGGGCCCCCTCACCTAGGCCCACTCCCCGCCCCCCGAGCCGCCCCCTTGCCTTCGAAGCCCTCCTTAGCTCTAGGGGCGTATATTATCGAAGTGATTGGAAGCGGACCTTGAAGAGGTGCCGCGGCATATGTGCTCAGGGCAGGTCGGCGAATTACTGCTGATGGGATCGCGCCACGGGCCACGAGTTCGAGAAACGGTTCGCTTCCCGAAGAAGAAGCTCCCGAGGTCCCCGAGGTCCTGGACGGGAGAGAGCACGAACGAGTGGCCCCCAGCGGGGCCTGCTGGCTAGGCACGCTGGGCTCCTCTATGATGTCGAGCTCTGTGTAACTATTGTGGTTGCTGCTGCATGGTTGCTGACCGCTGCTACTGCCTACGCCTACTCCTCGGGGCCGACCTCCTCCGCTAACTTCCTCTCGAGTGGCCCACGTGGGGCCGCGCCTGCCAGGAAGATTCCCCCTCGGATTCCATCAACTGCTCCAGCTGCCTCGAGAGAGCGATGTCGCGGTTCGTGTCTCGGTGGGAACTGCACGATATGATGGCCTTGGGCTTTTCGCCCTGCTCCGCTCACAGCACCTGCACCCCAGGATCACCCTGCCAAACCTCTGAGCTGTGATCCCCTTCTCAAAAATCTCGTTGGTGTAGTGTTCCTGCATCTCGTCTCGCAAGATGATGTCAATCTGCTTTGAGCCGTCTGGCAGCTGCTTGCCAGCGCCGTGCAGGCTGGACGCCATCGCCACGTGGACGTGGGGGGCCCTCGATCTTCGTGGTTGACTTGCTGACCATCTTTTTCTAGCTTTTTCACCTCGGCGCTCTGGTGGTTGTACCTGATGCCTGCATCCTTGCCCGCTGCTGCCAGGCCGACCGTCGCGTCTGGCATCTCGTATATGACGTACACGGCGCCCTTGAGGTCCGCGACCTCGCGAGCCAGGAACAGGGTCAGCCTGTCGTTCGCCTTCGACGCGTTCCCGACTGAGCCTTTGCCTCCTCCTTTCTTCTGGCGTCCTCCACCTTCTTCTTATCCTGGACCCTTTTGGCGCTTCTTCTCTGGAGGGTTGTACCAAGATGGAGGCTCCACGACCATTTGGCTCGGCTCGCCATCTGGCATCGTCAACGTATGGGCGTGGCCGAAGCGGGAGGTGGGTGGGTACTGAGGTGATCGCAGAAATCGTCGGGGCTCGAGCCGTCGATCTCGCAGCCGGGGCAGGCGAAGGAGGACACGGGGATAATCGTTTTCAAGGAAGAGGGGCCCACAGTTTGGCAACGTCCACGAAACACAGAGCCCATCACATGGCTTGCTGCGCTAGCCTTGCATGCGAATGCTTGTCTGCAGTGAACACACACATATGTTGGTAGGAGTAGTAGCATGGCATACATTGCGGAGCCCATGGGTGCCCCTGAGGTGGTTCGTGAGATCCCTGCGGGTGCGAAATGGTGCCTCACAAGGTCCTCCTGGGTTGTCCCCGGGGGGGAGCCAGCACTTCCACGGGTACTGAGCGCCGCCAGGTCCGTGCGGTGTCTCCTCCAGCTCGCAGGGCACCGGTGGCGCCTGCACAAGCTCGGGGGGGCGGGATCTGAGGAGGAGGGAGGGCGAGAGGGAGGAGAAGACGGAGGGCGAGGATGACGAGGAGGAGGAGAAGGCGCAACAGAGAGCGGGAGGAGAGCCCCCGCCAAGGCGAATGGGCGAACAAAAACGAGGGGCAAATTCATTACATTATCATGCGGTGTCCTACCGTCGGAATCTGGTTTCAGATCCTGTTCCCCCCCTTCTCTTCTCTTCCGCCTCTTCCACCCCTTCTCCCTTTTCCTGTACCTAGTCCTCCTCCTCCTCCTCCTCCTCCTCCTCTGGCGCTGTTCCTCCTCCTCCTCGTCCTCCTCCTCCTCCTCCTCCTCCTCCTCCTGCTCATCCTCCCTCCTCCCTCCTCGTCGTCGTCCTTCCCCCTCCTCGTCCTCATTCCTACATAGATTGCTCAGGCATTGATCGGGTGATCGCTGCGTCTGCCCTCGTCCTCCTGCTCCTCCTCCTCGTTTTCGTCCTCTCTCCTCCTCCCGCCTCCTACTGCCTCATCCTCCTTCTGCTCCTCCTCGGCCTCTGCTTCTTCCCAGCGCGGGCCTGAAGGATGCCGTCGTGAGTGGCGGCCCTGACGCGAGCCTTCCCGCGGGACGTCCTGGTGAGGCGCCTGAACATCTTCTCCTCCTGGGTTTGAAGTGGGTTTTGAGTCGATCCTTCACTCCACATATCTCATGTGTATATATATATGAACGTACATGTATATGTCATGCACACCCTCACAGAAAGAGGAAGAGTGTGGGAGAGAGGGCGAGAGAATGGCAGGGCGATGCATTATACATATATATATATGTGTGTATGCATAGATAGAGAGAGGGAGAACGAGCCAGAGGACAACATGCATATATTTCCACACATGTAAACCTGTGTATGTAGAGAGACAGAGAGAGAGATCACACCAACACAACGAACAGTAAGAGGGACAACACATGCGTATACTGCAGATGTGCACCGAGAAAGCGAGAAGGATCCAGAGAGCGAGAGAGCGAGAGCGCGAGAGAGAGAGAGAGAAACCGAGACTGAGAGAGCGCGAGAGTGAGTGAGTGAGTGAGTGAGAGCGAGATCACGAACGTGCGAGAGCTCCTGCTGGAGTGGGCTAGGCTAGGGGCGGCGAGGCGGACTGGCGCGCGACGCCGCGTCGGCGGCCCGCGGGCGCGGCCCGGGACGCCAGCCAGATCGAGGCCAGCGCGGCTCTCAGGCTTAATCGGCCTACCCTGGTTCCCTCGCGTCGTCAAAACATCTGCTGCGGGGTGGGCGCCAGGGTGCGGTTCGAGGCGCGCGGAGCATGGGCCCCAGACGCCCTCCAGTCGTGAAGACATCGCGACGGAAGGCTTTTGGCCGTTTTTTCTACCTCTAGGGGCCCTCTCCGGGCCCCAGGACCGTCAAAAGGACTCGGAGTGAAAGCCGGTCCCAGGGAGTGAGTCCAGACCTCGGGGGGGAGCCACGCTGCGAAAAGATTACGGCGTCGAATGCCTGGGTAACTCTCTCCCCACTTCCCCTTCCCTACAGCTTTTGGAGCCCAGCGCGGATTTCTTGGATCGGCGCTGGAACTACTCGGTGCCGCCACGGCCGCTCGCTCCTCCTCCTCCTCCGTGCCCTCCCTGTCCTCCTCCTCCTCCTCCACCCCCTCCTCCTCTTTCCTCTTTCCTCTTTCCTCCCCCTCCTCCTCCCCCTCCTCCTCCACCTCCTCCTGTCCTCCTCCTCCACCTCATCCTGCCCTCCTCATTCCTCCTCTTCCTCCTACTTACTCCTCATCCTCGTCTTCTCTCTTCCTCCTGCTCCTCCTCCTCCTCCTCCTCCTCCTCCTCCTCGTGATCCTGCTCCTCCTCCTCCTCCTCCTCCTCCTCCTCCTCCTCCTCCTCCTCCTCGCCGGTCGCCACGGGGCTCTCCTGCGAGCGCAAGGCAAAACAGAAACATGCTGTTTTCGGCCTCTGGGGGCCTCGCTGGGCCTCGGGACCGTCAAACAATGACTCAGGACGAAAAACCAGCCCTGGGGAAGTGATCCAGACCTCCGGGGCCCACACATCGAAAAAATGTTAGCAGCCAGATGTCTGGGAAGCCCCTTTCTGGCCCCAAAAGCGTCTGGGTGCACAAGAAGCGCCAGGGGAACAAACGTGGAAGGGCCTACGGAACAGCGGCCCCCGTCGGATCTGAACCGTTCCTGCTTTCAGCGTCTTGGCTGTAGCGTAGCCGTGGGAGGAGGAGGAGGAGGAGGAGGAGGAGGAGGAGAAGGAGGACGAGGAGGAGGAGGAGGACGAGGAGGAGGAGGAGGAGGAGGAGAAGGAGACGGAGGAGAGAGGAAGCGGAGGACCAGTGCAAACCCAAGACGCATCAACGATATTGCAATAAACCCTCCCTCCAAGGATTCATTTTCACTGATGGAAGTGCCCCGTTGGAAGACAGCCGTTTGAAAATCCAGAACTATGCCAGAACACCATTCCTGGAACTTCAACGCCGCGAATCACCGTTACTGTAGCGTCTTGACGATCCTGAATCGTGCCAGAACAATATTCCTGGGACTTCAGCTCCGCGAGTCGACGTTGCGCCCTGACATTCCAACATCGTGCCGAAACAACATATTCAGGACGCTCGTCACGAGAATCCTCGAATCTGTTGTGAATTTTTGAGACAAAAGTACGCGTCGATAAGCCGAGAACGACATGTTGAAAAGGAACCACCCTCAATCCGTGATATTATTGCAACAATGTTAAACAAATGCGCGCGGCACTAAGGCGAGAACCACATCTTTGAAACGGACCGCCCTCCATTCGTAAAGGTCATTCAATGGTTGAGACGAGTGTGCGCGGCGCTAATGTGGGAACCGAATTGTGAAATCGGACCACCCTCCATCCGCGAAGCTCTGGCAAAGTCAAAGCTTCAGGATCATAAATGGGGAGGAAGTCTCAGGCGAAACGTTCAGCCCACCTTACTGACACGCCTCGGGGCGTGACAGGGGAGGAGTTATGTATAAGGAAAAGGAATGGAGGAGGAGAAGGACGAAGAGGAGGAAGAGGAGGAGGAGGAAGCGGAGGAGGAAGTGGAGGAGGAGGGGAAAGGAGGACAAGGAGGACGACGAGAGGGAAGGAGGATGGGGGAGAGGAGATGGGAGGGGTCAAGCTAGGTGCGCTAGCATCACATCTGACGTCCTACCCCTGCCAATATGCCGGATCCATGTCCTCCGCTAACGTGCCCGCCCGATGTGGGCGCTTTCGAATACCAAGTGCCGTCTGGAAGCGCGGGAACGAGACCAGCGCTGCAGCGGGAGTACGACTTTGAATGACCGAAGCGCGGAAATGAGGGCGGCGCTGCAGCGGGAGCACCATTCTGGACGAACCAGAAACGACCAGATTGAAAAAAGCAAAAAGGGAAAATGCAAGATCCTGTGCAAAACAATACGTGGAAAGGACGGGACACTCTCTGGACAGAGTCACGAGAGAGAGGAGAACAGGATTCATATTGTGCAATTGTAAACGAGCATGCGCGGCGGAAACGGTTGTGTCAGCAGCGACGTGGGACACGAAACGCTACATGCAGCAACAGCCAGGAGATGCGCCGTAGAAACCTGCGAACGAGCAGCACGATCGCGGCACAGCGAGAAGAAATTACCTGTTCGACCATGGATGCCTTTCAGCCCGGCCGCCCCCGCGCGCTCGCCGCGCCTGCTGCGTGAGCATGCCCCCGCGCCCAGCTCCCCCCTCCGCGGCTGCCCGCTCGCCTCTCCCGGGTCAATTCGCGACTCCGTCTCCCCGTCTCGCTCGGACGCGCGGGCGGATTGCCTCTGCCGCGCCGCGACGCAGGAAGTGTTCGACCATGGACCCCTTCTTGCCCATCGCTCCTGGGCCGCCGCCGGCGGTCTTCGGCAGTCGGCGGTCTTCGGCGGTCTTCTGACGGTCTTCGGCGGTTTCCAGCGGTCTTCGGCGGTCTCCAGCGGCCTTCGGCGCGAGGGCTGGACGGTTGCGTTCAACAAGGGGTCCGTGATCGAACACGTTGGGAAGAAGGAAAACACTGCATAGTCTCAAACTTTCGGAGGTCCGCGCGGATCTCTTTGGATCGGCAGCGCCGGAGGCACCGCCAGCGGGGCCCAGCGCAGATCCAAGAAATCCGCGCGGACCTCCACAAGTGTGTGTGTGTGTGTGTCTGTGTGTGTGTGTGTTGTGTCTGTGTGTGTGTGCGTGCGTGCGTGCGCGGGCGCGTGCGCGTGCGCGGGCGCGGGCGCGGGCGCGGGCGCGGGCGCGTGCGCGTGCGCGGGCGCGGGCGCGTGCGCGTGCGCGGGCGCGGGGCGCGGCGCGGGCGCGGGCGCGGGCGCGTGCGCGGGCGCGTGCGCGGCGCGGGCGTGTGCGTGTGCGTGTGCGTGTGCGTGTGCGTGTGCGTGTGCGTGTGCGTTGTGCGCGTGCGCGTGCGCGTGCGCGTGCGCGTGCGCGGCGCGTGCGTGCGTGCGCGTGCGTGCGTGCGTGGTGCGTGCGTGCGTGCGTGCGTGCGTGCGTGCGTGCGTGTGTGTGTGTGTGTGTGTGTGTGTGTGTGTGTGTGTGGTGTGTGTGTGTGTGTGTGTGTGTGTGTGTGTGTGTGTGTGTGTGTGTGTGTGTGTGTGTGTGTGTGTGCGTGCGTGCGTGCGTGCGTGCGTGCGTGCGTGCGTGCGTGCGTGCGTGCGTGCGTGCGTGCGTGCGTGCGTGCGTGCGTGTGTGTGTGTGTGTGTGTGTGTGCGTGCGTGCGTGCGTGCGTGCGTGTGTGTGTGTATGTGTGTGTGTGTTTGTGTGTTTGTGTGTGTGTGTGTGTGTTCGCGCGTGTGTGTGTGTGTGTTTGTTTTGTTTGTGTGTGTGTGTGTGTTTATGCAGTTGTTTGTTCCTCGATGTAAGAATGCGCACGTGCAGACGGAGCGCAGCGTGGCACAACATACGTATTTCTCCCAACGTGCAGGACGTTGGAGATCGTGACAAAGCGGGGTGCCCTGGCCGCGGCTGGCCAGCGACCGTGCACGCCACCAGAGAGGCCCACCAAAAATGCTGGGCGGGAGACGACCTGCGGCAATGCCGGAGGGGGGGGGCGGCTACCCCAGCCCCTCCATACAGCCGGAAATATGGTCAAGAAAATGATGATGTAAGAAGTCTGGGCCAGCTTCCGCAGTTTCTTGAAACAGACCTGGGCCAAGTTCCGTTGTTCACGCTGGAGGGGCGAGCGTGCTCAAGAAACTGGGCAAGCTTTCCGGCAAGTTGGTTCAGAAACGCTGACCCAGCTTTTCGGGAGGAGGCTTCTCAACCAGATGCTCGACCTGAATGGCGCACGGCAGAAGTGCAAACTGTCGGATCTCCGCCCAGAGCTCCGAAAGTTTACGCTTAGGAGTGCAGCTCCTTCTTCCTCGAGTCCCGCGAGGGAGCAGCAGGCCGAACGGGGCCGAGACCGCGGTCGCGCACGCGGGAGTGTCGGTGCGCGGCCGTCGGGGACCAGCTGGCAAAGGGGGCGGCTCGGGACGACCCGGGCATCCCCCGACGCCTCTCGGCGAGGACGCCGCTGGAGAGCGCCCCGAGGCTGGAAGCCAGCCGAGAGCCGAAGAGCACATCCGACGACCATGAGACTCGAACCCGAGTCTCTCCATCGGCAGGCTCGTGTCGTGCCGACTTCGGCGTTGGCTCCTGACCCCGAGGGGATCGCTCCACCTCGAACGATCGGCCGCTTCCGAGACGTCAGATCGCTCAACCTCGACCGATTCTGGGTCGCCGGCGGCGTTCATAGAGGCCTCCCAGATGGGGTCCGAGTAGATGGGGTCGGAGGGTCGCGCCGCATCGCCGATGCATCACCGATACATCGACGATGTATCGACGTTGCCTCGGCAACGTCGGCGATGTGTCGGCGACGTCGGCGCGGAAAAAAAAATCGTGCTCCACATCGAGCCGCATCGTCGATGCATCGGCGATGCGGAGGGATCCTCCGACCCCATCCACTCCGACCGCATCTATGAGGCCCAGAGTTCCCTGTTGAACGCTGGCGGCGGGGTGGCCGCCGGTCGACACGACGCGAGCCTGCCGCAGGCAATCGCGCCGCCCCGCGAGGGCTCGGGAGGCCAAGGCGCCAAGGAGGGCCAGGACCGCGCCCCGCGCCACGCAGGAGCGTGGGCGCGCGGTCGCCGGGGGCCGGCGCAGCGAAAGTGGACGACGACGACGACGACGACGACGACGACGACGACGACAACGACAACGACAACGACGGCGGCGGCGGCAGCGGCGACGGCGGCGACGGCGGCGACGACTGCGGCAGCAGCAGCAGCAGTAGTGCGTTGACACGGAGCTCCACGCGTAGGCTCAAGACGCAGGTCTGGCGCGAGCCGTTCGCCAAAACGTGGGCCAAGACGCTGAGCCAACGCGCAGCGTATTAACACAGACGTTTTTGAACACGGAGCGTGCTGCGTGTCAAAACGGGCGTATCAGGGCAACCAAGGTCCTGAGGGAAACGGGTCGTGAATCCCAGGGGCCGCTCCCCAGGACCAGCTCCGTGTCCTGAATCGTTCTTCGACGCTCTCCAGGATCCGTTCCCCTCAGGACCCGTTTGCTTCATGCCACCTGGTTGATGACGAGCTGGTTCCAATGAGGCGCCAGACTCCAAGTGGACTGACGGCCGACGGACGCAAAAGATCGATTCGGGCAAAAGGGTCCCGCTACGACGGCGGGTGTGGAATCATTAAGCACTTCTTGGGCTGCGGGTGCAAGCAAGGAGGATGGGGAGGAGGAAGAAAGAGGAGGAGAAAGAACAGGGCGAGGACCGGACAAAGGAGAAAAGGGGAGGAGAAAGACGAGGCCAAATGGTAGGAGAAGGAGATGGGCGGGAAAAGATGAGGAGCGGAGGGGCAGAAGGAGGCAGCAGGAGGAGGATGGGGAAAAGGACGATTACGAGGATCCTCCTCCCTCTCCTCCCCCTCCTCCTCCTCCTCCTCCTCCTCCTCCTCCTCCTCCTCCTCCTCCTCCTCCTCCTCCTCCTCCTCCCCCTCCCCCTCCCCCTCCCCCTCCTAGGGGGGCCTCGTCCCCATGCCCCCACCTCCCTCCCAACCCCTCACCGTTCACCCGAGACCCGTTTTCCCTTCTCCCTCCCTCCTCAGAAGAAGAAACAGCGACATAAGCATCATAAACTTTCAGGGCTCCGTGCGGAGCTCCGGAAGTGATGTAAGCTGTCTTCCTCCGCCATCCCCTCTTGAGCAGGGGCCGACCGTCCAGGCATTCCTCTGGGCCTACCACGACATGTTCCTAGAACACTCAGGCCACTGCGCTAAAACAAGACAGTCTCAGCCAGACGCGATCTGAGGACATCTCGTGCAAACCACAGAAGGCTCTCTGAACTTTCCCTGGTGGGCCTGCACAGGCAGGCCGGGGCGCCTCGCCACTGCTCGACCCTCCCCGCACCCCCCCCGGAGGGGGGAACGATCCGGGGGGGGGGGGGCCCGGCCCATGGGGCGACAGACACATCGAGCCGAGGGCCTGGCGGCAGGCCCCCCGACGGCGAACCTCCGCCAGGCGCTCCCGGGGGCGGGGGTGGGGCTCTCGGGCCCCACCTCGGCGAGGAACGGGCGATGGGAGGCCGCTGCGCCCCCTGCAGGGCGGCAGAATCAATGCGTGCCCGGTGCTCCATGAAACCCAGCTGGAACCAGACTCTGTCCGTCGACAGCCTGCTGCCCAGCTGTCGGAGGCACGGGCCTATGCTCCCCCCGAGTTCTGGATGGGCACGGCCTTCGAGTCGATCGGGGGTAGCCCAGCGTAGCCACTGCTCCCTGGCCAGGCCCAGCCTGAGCCCAGCAGCGGTGTGTACGCCACGCCCTCCCGGCTTGGCCAGGAGGGCGTGCACGCACAGCTCCTGGGTTCAGGATGGACCTGGCCAGGGAGCAGCGGATAGGTATCTGTTTGGACCTCGTCAACCAACCCTGAGCCTAACCTTAGTTCGGGCACGTTCTTCTCCTACAGACGGAGTTGGGGAGAACAATAAGAATTGTCCAACAAATGTCAAACATTGTTGTTCGTGTTTTTGTCATAAAAAAGACCCCCCACACCAAAAAAATGGAACACCGTCACCAGACTATTTTTTGTATTATTGAAAGTTCCTCCTGTAGAGGGACATGCCCGATTGAAGCCTACACCCCCCCCCTGAAACGTTGCCCTTGAGCTTCCTGCGGCAGCGCTAGAGGCGGAAGAGGAACACAAACCGCACGCAGACCTGCCCGCGCCCTGCAAAAGGCCACGACGCACAGCGTTTGCCAGTCTTTTCGCCTTTCCGGGAGCCCTCGCCGAGCCCCCGACCTTGCCTTCACCACGCCACGGACAACCATCGCGCCGACGACAGCCACCACGGCCGTCGTCGTCGTTGTATGTTGGCGCAGTCTGCCGCTGCTAAGGCCCGCAGCCCTGCCGCGGCGTCGTCTTCGTCGCCGCCGCCGCCGCCCTCTGCCGTTGTCCTCGAGGCCTTTCCACGGCCCCCCTTCTTCGACGCTCCCCCCACCCCTTCGCGCAGCGTGGTGGCCGCTGGCGAGGTCCCCGCCAGGTCCCCGTCCCCCCTCCTCGCCTCCCCCCTCCACAATTAAACAAAATGAATACCACCCTCCTCTCTCCCCTTGCTCTGTCCAGAAGATGTTCGGCACCCCTCCGCGTACTGTTTTTCACACACAGAATTGCGGGTGAGTTTGGTTTCTTATGTGTTTTTGACAATGCGATTCTTTTCGGTTCTTCAAAATGTTGCTCCCGCTGCAGCTCTGGCCCCACTTCTGCGCCTCTGGTTGTTCCAAACCGCGCTCCCGCTGCAGCGCGGGCGTTTTCGGTCCTTCAAAATAGGCCCCAAAATCTAGAAAATACCCAACCGAAAAACCATCGGAAGTGATTGCACATTCGGTGCCGATTCGTTGAATTGTGGGCCGCAAAGACCCCCCACCCATACTTTTGGGCGTCGTCGCTCTCAGGAAGTATCGAGCGGGAGCCCCGGTTCTGCATTGAGAATGCGATGTTGGAAGCAATGCCAGCGGATGGCTCTCCATCAGCCCCGCCTTGTGTGGGGTAGGACGTCAGAAATGACGCGAGCGTACCTAGCTTGTCGCCCCCCCCTCCTCGCCCTCCCCCCCCCCCTTCCTCGCTACCCCCCCTCCTCGCCCCCCTCTTCCTCTCCCCCCCCCCTCCTCGCCTCCTTTCCTCTTCCCCCCTTTCCCCCCTCCCCCCCCCCTCGCCCCCCAACCCCCCTGCGCAGCGCAGGTCCGCGGTGGCTGCCGCCGAGGTCTCTGGCGCCGCCGTCAGGCCCGCCTCGCGCCGGGGCCCGAGGGCGGGGGATGGGAAGGAGCCAGAGCAGAGGCGAGCACGCCGTGGTGATGAGAGCACAATCTTTCGGGAACGGCGAGAATTACAGAGCCCAAGAATACACGCATAAATAGGCATAAGTCCCAGGATTCCCCATCTTTTTCATATTTTATGGGTTCTCCCCCCCACACACACACTTCTTATCCATATGTTCCTGGGAGTCGACGATTAATTGTGTCTGTGTGTTTTCCCCTCCTGAAAGGTATGGTACAAGGATGATTTTGACGGCTGCTGGGGCGCCTCAGGTCGGGCGAGGGGGTCCTCTGGTCTAGCGAAGCCAACCTTGTCCAACGCACCCTTCTGGCAGCCTCCGAATCGAGACCAGCGATAAGGATGGAGCTCAAGGATGCAATTCCCTTGGGGAGGCGCGGAAGCCAAGGACGCGCGCGCTCACACGTGCTGAGGATGGCCAGAACCGAAGAATGGAAGGTGCCCTCGCGATAAGAGAAAGGGCCCATCCTTAACGTCGGTTTTGACTGAGTCCTGCTGATGGGGTGCGGTCGAAGGTCCTTTCTATCTCACCACCCGGAGTCCACAGACGCTGCGCCTCCGCTGGGCAGAGATAGCGCAACGCGAAAGGAGGGAAGATGAGGGAAATGAGGAGTACTCCTCCTGCTCCTCCTCCCACTCTTACTATTATGATTCGTCTTCTTCATCCTCCTCCTCTCGCTCCTCTCCTTCTCCTCCTCCTCTTACTATTATTTGTCTTGTTATTCGTATCCTTCTTCTTGGTAGTATTAGTAGTATGCTTATTCATTACAGAACGATTATTGCTATTCGTATTCTTATTCATATTCGTACTATTATTATTGTTGTTATTTCCCTACCTGGGCTCTGCCTAAGGAGGGTTCTTACTTTGTTTGCTTACAGGGGCCGGGCCGGGCAGTGTAGGCCGCCCCGGGCGGTTCCCCGAGTCCCCGCCCCGCGGTTCCCCCAGTTGCATCCCCTGGGTTCCCCTAGCTTAGCTTAGCTAAGCTAAGCTTAGCTTACTTTAGCTTAGCTTAGCTTAGTTTATCTCATGTTAGCTTAGCTTAGCTGAGCTTAGCTTAGCTTAGCTGTGCCTAGCCTAGCTTAGCTTAGCTAAGTCTAGCTAAGCTAAGCTAAGCTTAGCTGATCTCACCTTAGCATAGCATAACTTAGCTTAGCTTAACATAGCTTAGCTTACCTTAGCTTAGCTGAGCGCAACGCAGCATAGCGCAGCGCAGCATTAGCACAGCATAGCATAGCGCAGCATAGCACAGCATATCATAGCATAGCATTGCTCAGCATAGCACAGCGCAGCATAGCATAGCATAGCACAGCACAGCACAGCATAGCATAGCGCAGCATAGCATAGCACAGCATAGCCTAGCGCAGCATAGAATATCATATCATAGCCTCGCATCGCATATCATAGCGCAGCGTCGCATAGCATAGCATGGCAAAGCGCAGCATAGCGTAGCATAGCATAGCGCAGCATAGCATAGCACAGCATAGCCTAGCATGACACAGCGCAGCCGAGCGTACCCTAGCATAGCATAGCATAGCATAGCGCCGCATAGCGCAGCATATCAAAGCATAGCCTAGTATAGCATAGCATAGCGCAGCATAGCGTAGCATAGCATAGCATAGCATAGCATAGCAGCAAAGCACAGAAAAGCAACAGCGGCAACAGCAAAACAAAGCACAAGCAACGAAAAGCAGGACCTGCAGTGCTGAACAGCCTGCAGCTCTTGCAGGAGCCGCGAGCAGTGCTGAACAGCCTAGCCTGCAGCTCTTGCAAGCAGTCCTGAACAGCCTGCAGCTCTTGCAGGAGCCGCGAGCAGTGCTGAACAGCCTGCAGCTCTTGCAGAAGCCGCGAGCAGTGTTGAACCTAGTGCAAGCAGTGCTGAACAGCCTGCAGCACTTGCAGGAGAGGCGACCAGTGCTGAACAGCCTGCTGTCGCTGGGTGCACAGCAAAACAAGACAAATCAAAGCGCAGCATAGCATAACAAAGCATAGCATAGCTTAGCTTAACATAGCACAGCGCAGCATAGCATAGCATAGCATAGCATATCATAGCTTAGCTTAGCTTAGCCGCGTGTCGTTTGTAGAGCTCAGCATCATCATGTATATGTAAGTGTAGCTGTCGGTGTAGATGTAGATGTTGCTTTCCCAAACGCTCCAACTCCTAGGTAGGGTCGCACTGGGATATTATTAGAGTTCTTCTGATTATTTATATACCTCCTCCTCCTCCTCCTCCTCCTCCTCCTCCTCCTCTTCCTCCTCCTCCCCCCCGTCCTCCTCCTCCTTCTCCTCCTCCTCCTCCTCCTCCTCCTGCTCCTGCTCCTGCTCCTTCTCATCCTCCTCCGTTTTCCTCCCTTTCCTCCTCCTCCTCCTCCCCCACGTGCTTCTCGAAGGGTTTCCACATCGGCTGGGGGAATTCGCCGGCCCAACGGGCCAGAGGCGTGCTGAGATCTCGGGTACCTGGATCACAGTATTTCTAGTTCGCGCGCGCGGGGCGGCCCCTGGGGGCCCCTGGAAGAAAAGTACCCCGGCAAGGTCCCAGGAGAAGCCCCCAGAGCGCTCCAGGAGCACACCAACAGGGCCCCGCGACGTCCCCGAGAGTCCCAAGAAGGGCCAAGAGAGAGTCCCAAGAAGAGCCAAGAGCGCCCAAGAGGCTCCCAAGATGGTACACCAAGGGTTCGAGATGCCACAAGATCGCTCCAAGACGCTCAAGATAGCCCCCAGACGCCCCACGAGGCTTTCAAGAGCACTCCCAAGAGGGCCCCAAGAGGCACAAATCATTGTTTTTTCCTTAGGTTTTGGAGAGATTTTGGCATTTCCATCTTTTCGGCATCGCGACGCCCCAAGACGGCCCAAGAGGCCCCCAAGATCGCCCTAAGAGGCCCGAGAGGCCTCCGACAGGGCCCCAAGACGGCCCAAGAGGGTTCCAAGACGGCCCAAGAGGCCTCCAAGACAGCCCAAGAGGGCCCCAAGAACGCTCTAAGAGAAGCCCCAGAGAGGGGGAACATGAAACAGCATTTCGAGCCCTCGGTCCTAAGAAGCCCCCAGGAGGCGCCAAGAGGCCCCTAAGAAGCCCCAGGAGGTCCCCAAAAGGCCCTCACGAGGCCCCCAAGAAGCTCCCAAACGGCTTCCAAGCGGCTCCAGGAGGCCCCCCAAATGACCCCCCGACCACGCTAGCAAGTGCCAGCGATGCTACAAGATGGGCAGCGAGCACAAAGAAATTCTCGGAAACTTCTGCACAGCGCTCCGTCTACCCTCCTCAGGCACTTCCCCTCCTTCTCCTCCTCATCCTCCTCCTCCTGATCCCCTCCTCCACTCCTCGATGGAGCGGTCCATCGCCGGGTGGGAGTCGCATTAGGCGCCGCGGGCTTGCAGCGCAGCGCCCAAAGGGTGAGACGGCCGCCTCTATGCTGCTGGGCCTCCGGAGGCCTGTGGAAAGCTTCACGCGGAGAGATTTCGGGCTCCCGTGCCATCAAAAATCTGCCCGCCGGATGGAAGACCAGCCTCGGGAACAGGTGGAGAGGTCCGGGGGGCCGCGCATTGAAAAAGACCACGGCATCGTCCTCGTCCTCCTGCTCCCCTTCTTCCTTCACCTCGTCCTTCTCTCCCTTCGCCTCCTCCTCCTCTTCCTTCCTCTTCCCTTTATGCATCCCCCCTCCTCTGCCCTCTGGCTGGTCAATTTTTTCACATCGTGGTCCCCGATGCGCACATCGCAACGGCGGCACGGCTGCCCACAGAAAACCCCCAACGAGGACCCCAAAGGCCCCCAAAAGCCCAAACACCAGCGAGGGCACAATACGGGCCGGCGGAATGAGCGAAGCGATTAAATAAATGGCCCAATAGTTTGGCCAGACTTGCCCAAACGTTTGGCCACAGAGGCGCATCCTGAAAGGCAGGGGGCGGCGGTGATTCGCCGCAGGCGTCTTCGATAAGAGCACTTGCGATCCAGTCTGCTGCTACCCCTGCTGCTGATGCCAGGCCTGCGCTGGTTGTGCGCACCAGATGCTTCAAGCGGGGCGTCGCAGCAGGAGGGGGTGGAGGCGGAGGGGCGGAGAAGAAAGCGGAGGGGGAAGGAGAAGGAGGAAGACGAGGAGGAGGAGGAGGAGGAGGAGGAGGGA